CACGCCTTTGGCTCGCGGATGTACTCGAGGCCGTGGAAGAGCGCCGGCGCCGGCGATCGAGGGGGCGCCTGCACCGCGCGTCGCATCGAGCCTCGTCGGCCGCGCACGTCCGTTTGTGCGCACGACCGGTTGTTATGGGAGGAGCCGCTGGGAACTCGACGCGGTCTGATCGCCGCCTCGCCTCTCGACGCGCCGATCCCGCTCCGCTTCTTCTCGGCGGCGGCGCGGCCTATCCCTGTGTGTACAGACCAACCCCCCACCGAGGGAGATTCCTCTGAGACGCCATTCACAAAACGCACAACCCCGGGCCCGAAATCGCACAGAGACAGTCACGCTATTCACAGTAACAACGGCTGTCCCAGGAAGCATGGCTCACAGTGTAGTGGTGTGAGCACACAAGTACTAGCAGAGTGCACACCTGCCTTATTGGCGGGTGTGAGTGACGTACCGGTAAGTAAGAACTAAGGCCTTTAGATCTAGTTAACAGCTCACAGCTGTATATACGTTCACGCAAAAACACAACCCAGGACCAAGACGTTCACACACGTGTTCGAGAGAATCAGAAATCGCGGGTGGGTGATAGACAGACGAGTTTCATCGCTCGCCGCGCGCCCGCGATGAGAGAGACTCATCTCTCTCTGGAAGAAAGAGAGTCTCTCAGCAGAGAGAGCTCTCGAGCAGATACACGAGAGCTCGAGGAGAGATTGTTGATCGAGAAGTGCCAGCAGAATAACACATCAGATTCGCGTCTACTTTTTACGACGTCATGCTTGGAGACGGACTCAATCACAACGTCGATACTCGTCGCCGCCTAGGTCGCCGCGAATGGTTGGGCAGGTTAGTCACATCACGATCCCGGCGTGAACACGACTAACTGACGGATCCGCTCCTGACAGTGGCAAGCAGCGCGCTGCGGCGCGTGCCACTGTCTTTGTTTGAAGTCAAAAGTCGAATCAGAGCGGTGTCGGCGTTGATCTCTGAGTTTTCCTGCCCCGGACCGCCCGTCCTTCACCGCTCCGGGACGCACGCCGGCGAAGCATCATCAAGCTGCTGTACGGCCCAGGCATCGCTTCCCCTGGCTTAGCTAGACTGAGAGAGATATTGTGCATATGGTCTGTCTCTACAATAACTAATCACCTTCTGGACCTATACTAGGACCTATAAATATGTGCTAAATATGTGCTAAATATGTACTAAATTTGCGCTAAGTCGCGCTATATAACCACCGCTCACTGTCGCAAAAGATCTCGAGGCGCGATCCGGTGGACAGGACAGTGTGGCCGTCGAGCGCCGCCCTGGCATCCTCGCGCTGTCGCTTCCGCCGCTTCGCCTTCGTCTCCTTGCTGCGCAGCAGGGTGTAGTTCGGGCCCACCTCCGCCACGCTGTCCAGCAGCTGGGCGGCGCTCGCCATCTCGACCGCGTCGTCCTCCGGCGGAAGCTCCGCGTCGCCCGCGGCCGCTTCCCGAGCGCGCTCGTCGCGCATCCGCTCGTGGTGGGCCTGCCGACGCGCCACGCCGGCGCCCGTGCGGTGCCTCGCCGCCGCGTCTGGTGGGCCTGCCGACGCGCCACGCCGGCGCCCGTGCGGTGCCTCGCCGCCGCGTCCGGTGACGGCATCGATCGCTGCCACAGGTCGTCCCACAGGTCGTCCCACGAGGTCGTCCCAAAGGACACATCCAAGCCGCCGCATTTCGCCCGCCGAAAAGTCTCCCATCGCGCCCTCCCCAAACCCAAATGCTCTCACTAGTTACATACATATCCTATTCATAATTCAACAGCGCAGTGCTCAAACTTTACCGGTATGAGACTGGTATTTGGCGATATTTTGATTAGTTTTGGAGTGGTATGGTATAGTGGTATGCGAAAGTGGTATGCGGGGTTTTCATTAGTTGTACTAGTAGCGGCTGTCGGTGTGGTCCCGGGGGCGAAACCATGCAAAAGTGCGGGTATTACCCGGGTATACCGCCCGGGTTTTTCCAGGTATACCCGCAAAATGCCCAGTATTTTGCCGATTTTGCCGATTTTGCCACCAAGAAGGCACTCCGACTCGCTTTGATTTCCGTGAGGCAACTGGTATCCCGTACCACTTTTTGATTAGTGCAGGCCTTGGGTTTGATTAGCCAAAAACTCCCATACCGGTAAAGTTTGAGCACAACTGTCAACAGGCGCCTGGGCTGCGCCTGCGGCGCCGTGGTCAGGAGGTGTTGTTCACACACCTGCCCAACCATTCGTGCAGCACAGTATGCATGTAATCGTCAGTGAATTCTCACTGCGGGCATACCTGCAAAACACAAAACAACATCTCCTGCAAACACACACGCGAACACACGCCCAGCAGCTATCCCTGACCCTGTGTTCGTCACGCCGCGCCTGCGGCAGCACCCTCCTTCGTCCTCGGCGCAAAGTCCGCTGCTGCGGCGGCGATCCTCCTCCGCTCCGTGTATTCCGTCCAGAAGGTGCGCGGCTCGTCCGGGCGGCCCGAACAGAGCAGCACCTACGGAGGCCGGCGACTGGGACGTTTGCGCCTCTGTGGAAGAGGGAGAGGGAGAGGGAGGAGAGCACCGCGCCTCCCCCTCCTCGCGCACGCTCGCGCCAATCCAGAGCGGCACCGGCGCGGCGTCGGGCAGCGTGCAGCGAAGGAGCCGCTCATCGCCAAAGCTGCTGCTGGCCGCCTCGTACGCCTCTGCTACCTCGGGCGGCGCGATGGCCTTCTCGAGCTTGTCGAGCGCCTTTTGCAGATGCCGCTTCTCCAGGTTGGCCTGCACTCTCGCGCACACGGCGCAACCCTGCGCGTTGCCGGCAGCAGCGGCCGTGCGGGCAAACAGCGAGTCGGCCGGGACCGCCACCGTCGGGTATCGTTTGCACCAGCGGGCGTAGCGGCGGTACGAGACGATGGCGTCGACCGTCGCGGCTCCCGCTGCGGCGGCGGCGGCGAGCCTCAGAGCGGATCGCCAGCCAGCGGAGCCGGCGGCCGAGGGCATCGCTCGGTGTGGATCGCGCCTCGCGGTGGCGGCGAATATGTCATGCGAGTTTGCCTGGATTGTTTCTTTTTGTCGGTTCTCCTCCATCGCGTTCTGTGGCGCCGGTCGCGCTCCTCTCTCTCTCGGCGCTCGCGCGGCCTCGCTTCCGATGGCGGCCGCGCAGTCGACCATCGACCTCGACGAGAGCATCGCGGCTCTCGCGGCGCGCGCCCACGTCTCTGCGCCAAACAAGGACATGCTGCAGAACAAGCTGCTGCAGCAGGGCGTGGGCAACGTGGCGGAGCTGCTCGTTGCGATCCAAGGCGGCACGAGCGCGACGGCTCTCGGCTTCTCGCCCGCCGCGCTCGCGCTGTGCGAGCGCGTGCTGCCCGACGAGACGCTGCGCAGCGCAGAGGCCGCAGCAGCAGCTCTCGCAGCTGCCTTTGCCTCGCTCTGGAGCTGGGGCTGTGGTTTGGACGGCCGGCTGGGCCACGGCAGCCAGCAGCGCCAGCTGCTGCCCAAGCAGGTCGAGGCCTTGGCTAGGCGGCGCGTAATTTCTGTGCTTGCGGATGGCGATGTCCGATGAGGCCGTCGGACTCCGTCGCCGCCTGGAGCTCGCGCGCCTCCGCCTGCCTGCCCCACTCGGAGGCGTCGAGAGCGACGAAGTGGATGGTGATGTCATCCGGAGCTGGGAGCTGTATGCAGTATGGCGCCACCGCCGGCGTGGTGCTCGAGGAAGGCTCGTGCCTCGCTCTCGCCGTTGAAGGCGACGCAGACGGCCCGCGACGTGCCGATGATGGGCACGCTGATCGCGCTCGTCGGCTGCGCCTCGCAGCCTGGCGTCTTCCTCAGAAGCTGTCGAATCTCGGAGACGAGCGCCGTCGTGTTCTGTATGTCCGGGATGTGCTTGCCGCCGCGCGCCGCGAGCGCGACGTGCAGCAGGCGCTTCGTGCCGCGGTCGGTGCCGGCGGCCGCCGCAGCGGCCATCTGTGCGGCATCCACCATAATGGTGTCGCCTTCTTTGGCGTCGTCGTCGTTGACGCGCGCGCTCGCGAGCTCGCTGTCGAGGCGGCGCTTCACGCCGAGTCTCTGGCCATCACCGGCCTCTTGCGCGCCGTCGTGGCCGCGCCGCGCCCTCGGCAGCGGCAGCGTTGAGCGCCGGCGGCGGCAGGCCCTCAAGTGGTGAAGCGCCCAAAGTGGAGCACTTGGAGCACTTGGAGTGCAGTTGGCAGCCTCACATCCAGTTAGAGGAAATTCTTCATTCTCGAGAGGCCGACTCCAACTCCCGCCTCCAGCGCGCTCGCCGCCGCTGTGCCGGCCACGCGCGAGACTCGCCAGAGCACGGCACACGCCTACATGCGCAGAGGGGGGTCGTCCGACTCCCTCCTCGTCGGCAGCCCGTGGAGCGGCTACACCGCCGTCGTCGAGCGTGAGTCTGCAGGGCGCGGCACGGAGGACTCTCGATGCGGCACGGAGCGGACCATCATACGTGGCATGGTGCTGATCGGCATCTGCATGCTCGTCTTCACGCTCTCCTCCTCGCTGCGCGCCACGCCCGGCAGCCGCGCTGTCATCGCCGGAGGGCTGGGAGTGCGCACGGCGGCGGGGCGGCCGCAGCTCCCTCGCGGCGCTGTCGTCCTCGTCACCGGCGGCGCCGGCTTCGTGGGGCTCCATCTCTGCCTGCGGCTGCAGCGCGAGCACGTGCGGGTCGTCGCGCTCGACTCGCTCACGCCCTACTACTCGCTGGCACTCAAGGCGGCCGCGAAGCGCAGCCCGAGCCGCTTCCTCCCTCGCGCCCTCTCCTCCGCTCGCACCCTGTCCTGCCGCTCCGCCTTGACGCCCGCTTCCTGCCCGCGCTCACAGCGCGCGCGCGTCGAGCAGCTGCGAGAGGCGGGGGTCGAGGTTGTCGAGGTGCGGCCCGCCAAGAGACTCCGACCCGTCTTTGAGATTCGTCCGACACTGTCCGGCACGACACTTGTTCCAGCACGGCCCGAGACTGGTACCCGCACGAGACGGATGCCACAAACACTTTAGACTTGTCCGGTCCAACACGTCACTCGCCCGAGCCGTGCCCGACACGGCGCCAGTGCCTTTGCTGCGCCGGCCGGGCGTTGCGCCCGTCCGCCAGGCGGACATGTGTGACCTAGGCCTAACCCTGACCCTAACCCGCAGGCGGACATGTGTGACGAGGCCGGCCTGCGCGAGCTCATCTCCTCGCGCGGCGTCACGCACGTGGCGTCGATGGCGGCGCAGGCGGGCGGTGCCTCTCGGCCGCCCACCGCCCCTCCCCCTCCTCTTCAGAGCGGGCCCGGCCTGCCGCAGGCGGGCGTGCGCTACTCGCTCTCCAACCCGCAGTCGTACATCCGCTCCAACCTGCAGTGCTTCGTCTCGCTGCTCGAGGCGCCGCCTCCCGCTCCGCCCTCGCCCGCCCCCCCTTTCCCGCCCCTCCCTCCCGCTCCCACCGCCCTCCCCCCGCCCTTGTGCGCCATCTGCGGCAGGCTCTGCGCGCCTCGCCCCGCGTGCCGCTCATC